TTTTTACACAATTAGGAATCACAGTAGTTTATTTTAAATTCTCACAAAAAATATGAAAAAACTTACCAATTTAACAGCTTCCTGAGCTGCTTCTTTGTTACAAAAAGTGACAAAAGCATATCCCCTGTTTAGACCTGTCAGGGGATCCATCATTAAGCGGAGATCCCAAATAGGTCCAGCTTTTTCAAATAATGGAACAAGTTCATCCTCAAACAAGTCCCTTGGAATTTTACCCACAAATATCTGCAACAATAAACCAAACACATTTTTTTTTCAAAAACTGAGATTTAAACAGAGAAACGTATTATATTCTCCCCAAATGTTGCATCTCTTACTTCAGTGCCAACAGAAGGCTGTTGTCCTGAATAGACACACTCTGGTGGAGGGCCACCATACTTCCTCTGTCCGGTTGTCACATCAAGTGTATAACCCGTTCTCTCCAAAAGAGCCTTCAAAGAGAGTTATAAACCAAGTACAATCAATTAATGAATAGTAACAAAATATTCCATTAATATAGGTTCTGTAGGTTCTCCAACTTATGTAAAAAGTCTGCCTTAAACCTAGTTTTCCCATTGGGTCATGCAACTGATATGTCAAGTGCGTGTATCTAGCAAATCTAATATCAGAACATAAACCACTTGAGTAAGAACCAATGTAAAGCCAAAAGTAAAACTTTCTCATCTTTCTAATCTCAAATCTTTTACACAAAGTTCCCCAAGTGCTTGTAAAACATCTGAGAACTTGGATTGTGAAAGAAATAATATAACATCTAAAGAAATAATTCTTGCAGATTTTTTTTTTTTTTTTTGCAGAACTAAACTACTAGATGTCTACATGTATCATCTTACAGCACTCTTATTCAACTGCCAGTTACAATTCTACGTCTTTAGATTCTGGGAGATTTAATTTATGGATCAAAAGATGAAAGATGCAGAATCCTTTTTTCAGAGAAATGAAGAGAACATGGGTTTCTGGCACAACTGAAGCAGTACGTAGTGCAAGAAAAGTTGCTGCAATTTGTTATGGAACAACATTTTCACTTTCCCTCAAAGGAATTGATAGATGGATGGATATATGATAGAGCAGTGGTTCTCAACCTTTCTAATGCCGCCCATGTTGTGGTGACCCCCAACCATTTATATATCACCGGGTGCCAGGGGCGTGGCCAAAGGGGGAAAAAACGGCGGACAGCCTTGTTTGGTGACCCCCGTGAAATGGTCGTTTGACCCCAAATGGGGTCCCGACCCACAGGTTGAGAACCACTGTGATAGAGGCATGCATCCCTTACTATTAAAGACTTCATCCCCTGCAAGCACATACATTTCAATTTCACTCAACAGTATAACTTAGTAATGCAGTAATTAGGAAGGGAAAAAATGGAACCCAAAATAAGAATAAAACAAAAATTAAAAAGTCAAAGGAATGGATCCATACTACGTGTAAATGTCATGTTCAAATTATTTAATCATTTCATTGAGCATATTACTCTGGGTTTATGCATGACAATAAGAATACTTTTTGTAATTTTTCCTGCTAGAACCAGCTGAGATATTTGTGAGATATATTAAAGAGATTCAAGATCAGTGAGGCATATGCTGTTCATTAACCGCTAAAAACTTAGCAATACTGGACTATTTGTACTATCAGGTTGTGTTAAAGTCACAATTGTTGGTTTATACATCAAACCTCAGGTTACACTGCCAATTAAGTGGCACTAAAATTTTATGAAGTCTTTATATCAGTTATTCATATATCATCCAAAAGCAAGATATAAATAAATCCTTCAAATTATAGTGCCATCATAAAGTGTAAAAAGATCAGTATAGAATGCAGATTATACTGTCCTAGTGTTATTTTAGGTTCCTGAAGTACATTATGAATGGCACTTCCCTTAACAGATTTATATGGAAGATTACATGGTAAAATGCACAAGAGACTGTTACTAATATGTATTCCAAATATAAAAACTGAATTGATAATCAGCACTGTAGGTAACATTATGTTTTGAATGACATGAATCTTCAGCAAAAAAAATAACACCCCGTGGTTGTATTCATACTATTATAGCGCCATTGGTTTAAGATAATGTTTCTTAAAAACATACCTTGATTTTTGCCTCATCTGGTCCTTTGCTGGAATCTGCCACTTTGGTCCCTTGTTTTTCTCGTTGTCTATATGTTTTCATGACGCCACATAAAAAGGCACTTTTGTTCTAAAAATAAATATGGATTGAAAAAAATGTGAACTAAATTTCATCAGTCAAAAATCAAGCACTTTCTGTATATATGCTGAAATAAATTAAACAGAAATACTTCCATGGTACATTACCTGAACATGAGAGAGATCACTGTCTTTAAATTGTTGAAGCACTGCCAGTGCACCTTCTTCATTAAATTCCTTTAAAGCTTCAATAGCTCTTTCATCTAAATCACTGTGAGCAACTAGTCCTAGAAAAAGAAATATTTTATTCAAGGATGTCTCACTTAACTACTATGATATTCAAAAATAAATCTTTTCAAATTAATTACTAGTTATTAATTGCGATGTTGGGGATTTTTCACATACTAAAATGCCAAAAACATTTTCTGTTTTATTCTTACTGGAACTTGAATATTTAAGAAATTCTAGAAAAACTTATTGCATCTGAGTAATACTTTTTTGTTCCTAAAACTAACTGATGAAAACTCTCAACCATTCTACTGCACTTCAAAACTATGCTTCAGGACATAACTGAAAACACTGTACTGCCACTACACCCAGGAATCCAAGCAGTGAATCAGAAAGAGACATACAATTACTACTTCACTACAGTCCTCCAAAGACACACAACTATACTCCAGTATGAACTATTCCTAAGGGATTATATTCCAACTGCTTGCCCTTACCACCACCCCTTCACTCAACGCCAAAGGCTACTCTAAACTAATAGAAAAATTGCATATTAATATTGATCACCCAAAAAAATTAAGAAAACTGCAGTCCCCATACTTTTTTGTTTGGAAACCACAAAAAGTTGCTATTTTAGCCCAAAGCAAGGAAAGTCCAATAGAAAATAGTGAATTTGCAAGTTTTACATCTTACCTGCAACGTAAATTTCATCTAGTTTTTCAGCAACTTTCTGTGGTAAACCAGCATCAAGCAATGTCTGGAAATGCTCAGAATGGGCAACTGCAGCAGTAGTATCCATGGGCTCTTCAGTACCATTCCCATTAACATGTTCAGAAGCCATGTTTCCAGATATCTGTTCAAACGCAATAAGCATAATTAAGCTAGAGACCTTAAAGCCAAACAATTCGGGTGTCAATATATGCAGCTGCCTACAAGATACTTGCAGAGTTTAATCCATTTTCCCTACCGCTTCTGAAATCAGAAAGCTTACAATCTTTTTTTTTCCCAAATGAAAGAACCTATAGTGCAAAGCAATATCCTGAAACCACTGCCAAACTCTCTGACTCACGTCTCTCTCTCTGAAGCACGCCCTAGAAAGCTCCGAAGAAGTTGTAACTAGAACAAGCAGCAAACGGGGGAAAACGGGTAGACACCACCGCCATATAGCCATCCACACTCTATCTCCTTTCGCCCTAGCTGCTCTCTACTACCTCTCACGAGACCCGTTCCTTGCCTACATTCAAGATGTATCGTCCTCTCTGACAGGGCCTAAGCCGCCAGGCCGAAGGAACAAAGCGCTCTCTAATCCGCGCCTAATCGAAGTGGCTGCAGCGGCTGCCGCCATAAGTCTGAGAGAAACACGTGCTCGGCGCGTTCAAATGTCTTACAACTTCCTCCAGCGACCGACTTCCCTTCCCCCCCACCCCCGGAAAAGCAGCCTTTCCCTCTCACCCCCCCCCTTTTTTCCCTCCGGGAGAAGAATTGCAACACCGTGAGCCTTATTTCGCCACGCGGATTGGGGGTGGGGGTGGTGTGGAAGGAGAAAGCGAGAGAGAAGGTAAGAGAAGAAAATGAGCGCTCGACATCTGTCCGGCTCTTCCCCCCTCCCACCCCGGAACAATGCATACAAATCACAGCTCCTCTGCCGCCACCACCGCCCCGCCATGCGCTTCCAACTCCTGAGCGGAGAGTTCGCTTTCAGGCGAACAGCTTCTCCGCCGGCCCACCCGTTACGTGACCCCGAGGGCAGGCGACAGCCCCAACCCCACCGCCACATCGGCGGCGGCGCCGGGAGTCCCTGCCCTGCTCCTTCCTTCCCACCCCACCCCACCGGCGCCTCGTGGCCAATGAATGGCGCTGGCGCCGGGACAATGAGGCGCTCCGAGCCTGATCGAGGGCGGGCAGAGGCAGGCAAGCACGCGGAAGGGGTCCCGCTTCCACGCCATGCTTTCGGCCTAGCGTAGCCCCCAGCCAGGAGTCCCGAATGCCTCGCAGGCGGTGGCGGCGGCACTCGCTGCACTGGACAGGCCGCTGGCTCAAAACGTCCTCTTTGTTTAAGCCCCGCTCCATTTTTGGCGAAGGCCGGCTGCCCCCGGGCGCCTTTCCCCTCGCAGTATCTCCAGCCCGCGCCCGCCGCCTCCTCCCCGGGAGTTTTTTGGGGTCTCCTTTTTTCATGCCTGACTCCCCTCCCTCCCTCCGCCTGACAATCCCTGGCGGCGGCTGACCTGTGTGGGCGAGCGGCGGGGGTGATGAATGGTGAGCGAAAGAGCTCCGGAGGGGATGGTGGGGGCGCAGTGAAGGAGCTGCCCCTTCTCCGCTCCCTCAGCGTGTCCGGAGAATGTGCAGGAGCCTGCGTAAAATGGCGGCCGCTCGAGCGCTCACGCCGCTGCTGGCACCAGCCAACCCCAGCCCCCTTCCACTCGGCTCAGGCAGGGAGGGGAGAGGCGAGGAGGAGGCGGCGCCGCGCGCGCGCGCGCTGGCGAAGCCCCAACGCCGGGGTCTCCCGAGCCGCTCCACAAGGGTTATTGCCCCGCCTGCTGCTGGGGAGCTGAGCTCGGAAGCAGGCGGAAACCAAGCAGCCGGCGCACGCGCGGCTAGTTACATCCCTCGCGGAGCACGTTGCGCAGGAAGTTCATCCTCCTCTTTGACAGGCACCCGGTGGAGGCTGGAAGGTTGGGAGCCTTAACGGGATTCCCCCGAGATCCTGAGCATTCCCTGGTGCAAATGAATGGTAATTTTATTCTCAGCTGCTTTTGTGACAGGCTCATTTGCCTGTGTGTGGGGGTAATGAATCTTTGTATGGCTTTGTGTAAGAATACTAATTACCATAGGTGCATATAAATATTGGAAAAATTCAATACTGTGGTTATCATTTAGAATGCATTCAGATCATTACAGCAGCCTCCATGGCACCAGAGTATACTCCCAATTCAAGTACAGGTAGTCCTCAAGTTAGGACCACAATTGAGCCCAAAAATTTCTGTTGCTAAGTGAAACATTTGTTAAATGAGCTTGCCTCATTTTATGACTTTTCTTGCCACAATTGTTAAGTGAATCGTTGCATTCAAGTTAGTAATCTGGTTGTTAAATGAATCTGGATTCCCCATTGACTTTGCTTGTCAGAGGTTTGCAAAAAGGTGATCATGTGAGCTCAGGACATTGCAACGGTCACAAGCTACTTGCCAAGCCCCTGAATTTTGATCATATGACCATGGGGATGCTGCAACGGTCGTAAATATGAAAAATTGTCTTATGTCACTTTTTCAGTGCCGTTGCAACTTTGAACAATCACTAAATGAACTGTGGTAAGTCGAGGACTACCTGTAATTTAAATTGTTATAAATCAGTTAGGCATTTCAACACAGCAGTAATGAAGCACAATGTAAACACAAACTTCTGCAAATTAATATTAAAAAGGGCAGCTTTTGTGAACATTTGATTACGCACCATCACGTTTTCCACTTCTAATAACTATATAGAGTTTTTTTTTCCATAATCTGTCCCTGCCCTGGCCTTTCAGGTCTTCCAAATATGCAATCATTACCACTGTAACTGAATGCATCCACCTTGCTGCTGGTCTTCTGTACCCTTTTAAACAAGATGCAGTTATGTAGGTAACTGCAACAGCTTCCTCGTTTGTAATTTTCATTCTGACTTTTTATTAAAATAAATGCAAGGCAGCTCACTGCAAAATTACAGCACGCTGTAAAATCTGTTTCTCCTCTTTGTACACTCTGAAGGGTTGTTATACCAGAACAACTTTTGAATCAAACTACAGTAAAACCTCCATAGTTGATGACCTCTCTACATTGGCAATCTCCCTAAGTTGATTTCATTTTTGTAGACAGACATATGCTATGTGAAAACAACAGAAAGCCAACCTCTCTATGTTGATCATCTCTTAAGTAGTATCTTGACCACCTGAACCTTCACACATTATATTAATTTATTCTCTATAACTTGACCAGTTGAGTCCAGTCTGCACTAAGGGCAAGAAAAGCGAAATGCAGAATTGGTAGCAATGAATTTCTTTCAAGAAGAAAGTCAAACAATACAACATTTTTGACTTTGATTCATCAGTTTAACCATAATTATGGATTCATTTCATAATATAAATTGCACAAAGACTTTTTCTCCCCGTTTCAATTTTTTTTCCTATTTCCAGAGCGATAAAAAAAATAGCCAATGGTAAAATGAAACAAATACACACATAACACAGACATGTGCAAGCTGTTTTACCTTGCGGCGGCCATCAAAACAAATACTTGGAATAAATTTCAGCCTGAAACAATACAGAAGTACTTCAAGAAAGCTAGATTTGTTACAACTCATGAGCAAGATATTGCAGCCCCACTAGGCAGCCTACCTCCCATGGTGGAATTTGAGTAGATTTTGAAGACATTATTGCAATGGATGACGATGTGGCAATCTGCAATGGACCTGACCTAGAAGCAATTTTCCAATAAGTATTGACCAAGGTACAACCCAGCGGAAAAGTGCTGGAAGCAATTGATGAAGCAGAAGAATTAAGTGAAAATTAGGTGAGGACAGTGAAATTGCAGACATTGTCTGCAGATAAATTGCAGACAAAAGAGGATGTCAGTCATTTGATAATGTTAAAGTCATTTGCTATGGAAAAATGCCCAGGTATTCTGAGCGATATAGCCAGCATTAAGAGTGCTTTCTCCTCCTACCTTCATAAAAAGAATAAGAAACATACTTTTTTTTCAAATGAACAAACCGTAAGAAAACCATACGTAAATCTATTGATTTTGTATATTGTATGAATGATTTTCCTGTTTTCACTGTGTTTCTATGTGAGATTCTCTAATAAAAGTTGTACAATAAAATGAGGCACGTGTACATAACAGTACAGTTGTTCTATATGTTGACCACCTCCATATGTTGACCACTTTCCTTCAGTCCCTTGGGTGGTCAACTTTCATAGGTTTTACTGTATGTTAAAACCACTAATTTAAAAAAATATGTAAAAGATGTAGGGCCCGTTATAGCTGTGGATATTCACAAAGTTCTGGCCATTGCAGCATCCCCCACAGTTAACATAATCATGGTTTCAGTGCTCCTGGCCAGTTTACAAGCAAAGTCAATGGGGAAATCAGCAGGAAGCCAGAAATTGCTCCTAATGCATTATACTACAATAATTTTTAAATCAACAATTGTTAAAACCAAACCAATAGCAATATGATTTTGGGACATTTAATGTTCTTTCCGGTTACATCAAAGGATGGCCCAACGGGTCATAGGTTACCTAGTGTTATATAAATCTATAGGCCCAATACAATTAAGATACTTAAAATTTATAGTTTAAAGACTAGAGGCCAAATATTAAGAAACATTAGGAAAGGGAAAATTGGGGGAAAACCCCACATTTGTGCATATTAGAAGCAAAGATTTTGTACACCGCTATCCATTAGAGAGGAGCTAACAACATTAATAATACCAACTGGATCTTATTCTAAAACCTGCCATAATATTTAAGTACAGAAAGATGATCTTTTGGGTACAAAGCTGCAGACTTCTTTAGGATGCCTAACTTTTTTTCTGGCCAGTTGATCAAAATAAATGTAGTTTGGCCTTTCCAGGCAAGATTACTGAGTTCTTTCTGGTAATGGAAAACAAGCATATAACAACTAGAGAAAAATGTATTTATTCCTTTCTCCTTGCAATCCTGCTGAAAATTGCTGGTGTCTTGTTCCAGTCTTCCAGCAATTACCTCCAATATTATAAAGCTGAAGTGGATGTTCATGTGAGGGTCAAGCAGACATTTTAATTGATCCCACTTACACCTTTAGAAATTCAGAAAAAAAGTATTAATGGTTTTACCAGATTTGTGAAAATTACAAGTTATTGAAAGATGCAAATGTTCTGACATTTCTGAAACCAAAAAAGCCCAGATTGTATTTTTCAATGCTACCCGTAACTGAACCAGCAAACCAATAAAATGTCAAGTGAACCTGTAGGCTGTCTTAAGGCTAGAGCAGATTTCTCCAACACTGCAGGTAAGGGAATGTATGCATGTGTCATCCAGGGACAGTTGCTTAGGCATTAGTTATACATCAGAGCATTTTAAATTATTAGTTATACATCCGATAATTCTGGCTAGGCAGCCCAAACAGCAAAGCACAAAAGTTGGATTAACTAGTCAGCATGCATCTCCACACAAGAGATGGGATTCAGGTACTTGCTTTGGAGTCTGGAGCTTATGCAACCTCCACTTACCCACAAACCCTTGTGTAGGTATGTGGTGATGGCTGTGGGCAACTCTAAATCAGGCTTATTAAGGACCAACTTACGCAGAATGATTTTTTTCCAGTATTGTCTGCACAAAGTGAACCTAAGATATATGTAATGTGCCAATTCTGTGTGACACTTTCCCTTAAAAGGAAATTATGGCACCTATGAAGTATTTCACAGGGTCAAATTGTCTGCCTCCACTTTTAAATGAAACTCACTCTTTACAGGACAGTCATCTGCAGATCCTAAAAGTACTGTTTCTCTTGATTCAGTCTTTATAGATACAGTATCTTCCTATCTACCTAATAAAACTAATTCCATAAAGCTTTAAGATCAGATTGCTACTTCCAGAGGCACTTGCTGTATCCAGCAAAGGAGACAATCTTGTTCAGAGGTTGTTTTTTTTTTTTTTTAGTTGCAATGGTTGTGTTGCTTTTAGACTGGGGAAATATGATTTTGGACTTAGATTTTAAATGCTACAATTTATATTTGGAATTGTATATAAACTTGAGTGTAGAACCTGCTGCCAAACTTTTCTTTTTAACACATTAGCCCAGAAGACTCACTACTATGCTACACAATATAGCTGCATGTTGGTCGGGTGACTGAAAACTTGTAACTTTTCAGCTACATTTATTGTTAAAATGGCTACCAATTGCATATTTTTCATTGTTTGGACAAGTGTAGTTAAATTGTACAGATTACTGACTGGGGCTTAAAACCTGATGACGCTTTTAAGTTTTCTCCCCTAAGAAATCTCAAGATTTCTGTAGGACTTCCAGATACTGCCATTCTCTACGTTTAAATACACAAAACTCCTTGAAAGGCATAAAGAAGTCCTAGCAAAGGGAATGTTTGAAATATTTAAAATTCCTTTCATAAGTCAATCTGTTAAGAGAATTTTATATATGAGCATTACCATAATACTCCTACCCTCTGGCTTCAAATATTACTGAAATTATTCTCTAAAATGTTTCCATTTATCCATCCTACCACAAAGTTTCATCAATAATAGTCCAATCTGGTGCATTAAATCTTTTATTTTTACAACTTATTGCATACGATCACAATTACATTCTCTTTAAAAAAAGAACATTCGGGTGTTACATTTAATCTTTACATTTTTAATGAACTGATTTTCTTCAAATCTTCAAAGACGAGAGGCTCATGCATGATGTAACTTCGGCGAAGCCAACTTCAGATTACGTTCCCCTTTGACTTCAAACACTGTTAATAAAAATGCAGGAGACAGTATAACTAATTTACATCTTGTGACATGCCTGTGCTCAAAAATCCTGAATAAACAAAAATTGCACTATTCAGAATTATCTCATTGTCGTATTTTGGCTAAAACATTCATTTAAGAAAAAAATATATATCTACAACTTCTGGTCTCGTGTTGGACATTTGCATATATGGGCATTAACATTTGCAGAACTATAAAATTCTCCGCAAAAGTTAACACAAGTACAGTAGTTATTCAATTGACATACAAGCAGTTGCTTGTAATACTGTTTTCAAGCAATGTTTCTGCTTGTTTAATAGTCTGGATATTTTAATGTTTATTCATCGGAGTCCTCTTATCAGTCCCGAATCCAGCTGATTAGTTTGTATTGTACATCATCTTACCTTTTCTCAAACATAATGGCTGTCTTTAGTCTAGGAGTGCTCCTGTATCACTGTTGAAAAGCAATGATGGAATACTTTATTATAACGAGCAAGGCAATATGTAAAAAAAAACTTGGGGTTTTTCCCCATAAAAGGAACATCTCCCATTCTTTTAGTTCAACTGGGGTCAGTAGGAAAAGGCCTGCCTAACAAAACATGCCTACAATATGATAAAGTACAGCTCCAATGAGAACTGGGTTTTAAAAAAACGAATCTTAAATTTGCACAGGGCTGCAAAGATTTCACTTCCACCTAAATTAAGCCCAGTAGTAAATCAGAACATAGTAATCTAAAATATTCCACTCACTTGATGCATGTTAGGAATCAGAAACTGAAGACCCAATGCCAAATGCGTCCCAGCTGTTCTAAATTTCATCTAGAAGTCAAAATAGCATCTGTGTTAAGAGAATATTCTAGCAGCAATGTTTCTGCATAACAAACTCTAGTTGTATTAATGGCAGCATAACCTCAGAAGCCGGATCCAAATTGGCATTTTTTCATCAAGAAGTCAGGTTCGGGATAGGCTCATCACTGGTCGGGCCATTCCATACTATTTATTTCAGTAAAAACAGTTCATACACATACCTTCATCTTAATAGTATAGTAGCGTTATCACGTCTGAAAAGAGAAAAAGCAAGCGTAAATTCTTATTCCATATTTTGCATTTCTAGTAAAGGACAAGTTGTTATAAAGAAGCATTCAAACAAGCATCAGTTAAAAGTTATTAATTATACAGAATTTTAGTACAAATGCAGCACTACAATGCCAAGAAGGAACAAATATTGAACAGCAAATTATGGCTTCCAAAGCCAGCCATCAGCAGAAATAATTTTCTATCTTTGTAATCCTTAAATCAACTACAGAAGGCTGAGAAACCCTCAAAACAGATTTGAGAAATTCCATTCCACAAGAGAAATATGTAATTATCAGTGTAGGCCTAAATGATTCCAACAAGAATGCCATTTCATCAACAGGAATTTTCCTTTCTTACAAGGTGAAGAATAATATAGATTTGAATCATTTCTATCACTAGTTTCTCCAACAGCTAATGTTACGACTGAAAAGGAGGCCTTATTATACTCTTAGTAGAGGCAATTTGGTTAAGGTACTGCCTAGAAACAGCTGAGTGTGATGTATAAGACTCCTTCAGGCATTAAAAACCAGCTGGGTGACTTTGGACCTCACATTCTCAGCCCAACATACTTCATAGTGTTGTTGTGGTAGAAAATACTAGGCAGGAGTATTAAATATATTTGGCACCTTGAGTTGAGCCATTTTTTAAAAAGGATAAAAATATAATTTCAATACAACAGATTTTCCAAATTTCACACAGTGAGGATAATTTTAGGGGCAAAAGTATTTCAGTGGAATTATTATCCCCATAAGACAGAGTTCCTCAACCCCCAGTCCATGGACCAGTACCAGTCCACACAAACAAGCAAAGCCCCATCTGCAGAATGTAGGCAGCACACAAAACCACACCCCTTTGGTCTGTGAAAAAACCTCTCTCCATGTAACTGGTCCCTGGTGCCCAAAAGGCTGGGGACCTCTGCTATAAGATATTGAATCCAAATTATTCTAATTTTACACATCCACCAACATAAAATGACCCTTCTAGTTGACATCTCCAACGTAAATTCAATGTACCTTTATATATTTGACAATGAAATAGTTCTTGATGGTTTGTGAACCCTATCACAAGAGACAACTCTCCAAATACTTAAAGCAAAGATAATTTTTGAATGCCTTGATCTGAACAAATATACATGCTGAAACAGAGCTAGCCAATTATGGAGCATTATGCTCCTTCGCATTTTGCAATCATTTTCTATGAGACAAATCCCTTTTAAATTCTCTTATTTAACCTACACAGCTATAATGCATTTGTTTTGTCTCTGTTAACATGTGTTTCAGTATTATATACAGGCAACTAATAGTTTTTAGAAATATATAGTCAGAAAAGAGAACCAGCAACTTGATTCTCTTTCAAGATTTAAACTAGATTTCTCACAAAAGTATGCAAGAAAGAATAGTCCCAACAGTTTTATAATTATAAGGTACTGGTAAAAAAATTCTTTAAAAGTACTACACCTAATCTTAGATATTATTAACAGCCTCCATCACCCACTGTATTTTATATTAATACAGCAATATTATAAAGGATTGATTCTAATCCCATGTATGTGTGTTCCTTCTTCATAAAACAAATATACTTGCCTACAATCAAATACAGTGTAATACTTAAAACTATAGTGAAACATACCACAGAGCTCATTATGTGTAACAGCAACACCATCACAGCTTTTAGGCTCATATTTCCTGGAACATAAAAAACAGATGGTTTTTAAAATCAAATGACAAATACCCATGTATAGTAATCAAGCTACTTTTTAAAGTAAATCCTAAAGCCTGAAGGGCAGCAATGGCTTCCTTTTCATGTTATTCACTTGCATTGTAAGTCTGCATATATTAAAACATTCTAACTATGCAGCACAAAATCACTAATACAAACGGCAATCTGTTAACTCACCACGTGGCCTTAAGCAAGCCATGCTTTCAGATCTTCCTCCAACCCTGGTACACCAACAAAAATGTGCAGGGTAGTCATTTTTAAAGTATTATAAACTTAGTTATTAACAAATTAATTATAGTACTTAACCAGATTCTTTCCTCTCTAGCCTCTAATTTGAGTTGCAGCCGAACATTGAAAACAAGTCCTTCTAATTTAAATCATGTATTTTATCATAAAATCATGCCCATTAATCAGCGCTATGCCACACTCCCATCAAGCTCAAGATTGCAATTTAAAAGCATCTCTTCCCCCTGAAGCAATATGCATTTTTCCAAAGGCTGCATGGGCATTCTGTCTCCTAACAGGTTCGAATTACAAGTTTAATCCGGTGGCTCCTTTTAACACTCAAGCCGCAAGAAGCTATGAATCGCGAGGGCCTGGACTGGTCTTCTCTCAATAATTGCGCTCTCATCCACCACTGCGGATGGGAAAGTCTCGGCGCGGAAGGGAAAGTCTCGTCTAGGGGCCCTTTTCAGTTAAGAAGTTATACCTGTAAGGAAAGCCCCCTATTTTCTCTAATCCTTTCTTTTAAAAGCTAGATCCACTGCACTTTATTCAAAGCTCGACCCTCTTTCTGTCTCAGCGCCCTCAAAAACGGAGCTAGAAGGCGCCGGACCAGAAGGGTGCCTAAAAAGGCCTCATGCAAGCTGCCTTCGTTATAGCTGTCGCAAACCACCCCATAGAGGGGACAACCGAGAGAGGGCGGGGGGGGAAGGGAAGGCGAACTACGCACAAAATGGCGGCGCCCGTTTCTCTCCTTCCTCCCACCCACCAAAAACTTACCACGCTCCGAACGTACAAGCAAAAAGACGCGCGAGCCCTCTCTCCAAGCTTTATATAAGTCTCCGGGCGCGAAAGCGAGACTGGTCACGCCCCTCCATTTTCATTGGATACAGGAAAGGAGAGGGGAGGCAAGGGTTAATCCCCCCCTCCGGAAACGTAAGAGATACGAGTGCAATTTCAAATCTGCTCCCTCGTGTTGTTTTGTCTTTTACCCTGACGGCCTTTTTTTGTCTTTAATTATTCTCTTTGTGGAACTTTCTTCCATTGTTTCTCCACATTCACTAAATAAGACCGGGAAAAGAACTGAACTGGGATTTTCCCATTGCCATCGTTAGAAAAAAAAATGAGCTCTGCCGCACGGAAGAAGGGATTAGTTGTAAAAATGTGAAATCCAAATTATTTGCCATGTTGAAAATAATACAATATTAATATTAGATAAAACCTGAGAAGCGGTTTGCAGCAACTATTGTTAATGCGGTAAACACCAATAAATTATATATGTACAGTTTTTGTATTTTGCATATATTTTCTTCGTATCGCCCATATAAATGCAGCGGAGGGGAGTGAAGCGGCAGCGCACAGGCCTTGCAGGGGAGTCAGCTGGATCTACAGCGCTGCAGGGAGTCTGCTGAGGCCCCAGGCTCGACTAGCGTGGCTCCAGCTGATCGGCGCTGCGTACAAAGCCCAGTTGGGCAGCGGGTGGCCGCATGGGGATGGGGGGCATGGGTTAGACTGGGGCAGCTACAGAGGCCGGAGCAATGCCAGACCCGAGAGGACGCCACGCCCGGAAGAGAAAAGAGGAGGGGGGAGGAAGAGAAGGAGAAGATATGAAAGGAGGAGATTTTGGCGGGAAAGGACGAGGAGAGCGAGGGATAGAGAAGGCTTCTATGAGGCAAGCCTGAGGGAGATAGAGAAGAAGATAGAATAGGTGAGGCTTCTGTGGGCAAGCCCGAGAGACATAAAGAGGGAGGGTGATAGGGAGGCTTCTGTAGGGCAAGCCTGAGGGACATAGAGAAGAAAATAGGTGAGGTGAGGTTTCTCTGGGCAAGCCTGAGGGAGATAGAGAAGGCGATGAGGATAGGTGAGGCTTCTATGGGGCAAGCCTGAAGGAGATAGAGAAGATAGGGATAGGGGAGGCTTCTATGAGGCAAGCCTGAGGGACATAAAGAGGGAAGGTGATAGGGACGCTTCTGTGGGGCAAGCTCAAGGGACATACAGAAGAAAATAGGTGAGATGAGGTTTCTCTGGGGCAAGCCTGAGGGATATAGAGAAGGTGATAGGATAGGTGAGGCTTCTGTGGGGCAAGCCTGAGGGACATAAAGAGGGAGGGTGATAGGGAGGCTTCTGTGGGGCAAGCCTGAGGGACATAGAGAAGAAAATAAGTGAGGTGAGGTTTCTCTGGAGGAAGCCTGAGGGAGACAGAGAAGGCGATAGGGATAGGTGAGGCTTCTATGGGGCAAGCCTGAAGGAGATAGAGAGAAAGAAGGTGATAGGGATAGGTGAGGCTTCTGTGGGGCAAGCCTGAGAGAAATAGATAAGATAGGATAGATGAGGTTTCTCTGGGGCATCAAATTTTGACCACCATGTTTTAGGAAGACTATTGACAAAGTAAAGCATGTCCAGTGAAGAACAGCTAAGAATAGGGACTAGAAGAAAAAGAGGTGTTACTATTATTATTATTATTATTATTATTATTATTATTATTATTATTATTATTATTATTATTATATGTTTAATCTGAAGAAGAGTAGTTAAGGAAACTGATTTCTTCACAGAGTTGGGAATTTGAGTAGATTACTTCCAAATTCTATTCCAACCCATTCACGATTTGCATACCTATGATCTGTTGTGGGATGAATTTGGACTATAGTACAGTGATATCTCGGTATTCGACTGCTTCAAAATTTGTCAAATTTGGTACTTGATGCATTTTGATGTGAAAATGTTGTCCCGGTACTTGTTTGGCACCCAACGGTTGTGATAGGAAAAGGGGGATGGCCATGGAGAAAGCACAGGAAGTCGGCCATGCTGGGAAGGTTGTGGACATAGAAAAAAAGGCAGACAGTCCTTCCCATCTGAAAAAAGTCACCTGGTAAGTCACGTGTTTGTTTGGCACTCATTGGTTTTAGTACACATTGTGCCTCCTGGAACCAATTAACGACAAGTACTGAGATACCACTGTACATGGGCTAGAGATGAAATGAAAGCAACATCATGAAGTGAGGAAAAGAAATGGCTGTGATCAAAAATAATTTCCCATGGTTAAATGCAAGTAGAGAGATGATTTAACTATAATTTTGAACCAACTTGTAACCTTTAAAATACAGTAGGTCTAGTCATTAAAAATACATAAACATCCCAAATGTCACGTATTTTAAAATAGGTTAATATTTAAAGTATTTTAGAAGAAACAAATATATGATTTTAAACTTATTTGCCTTGCCATGTTACCCAGATGTCTTCTTGCATTGTTAGTTACAGTCTATCCACATGTTTAGGTTTAGGTTGTTAGGAAAATAAGCACAGATGTGCTTATAATATCAAGTGAGATATAATATTTATCTCTACTTGTTCCTTCACTTACTGGACAAATAAACCAAACTAAAGGCTCTGACTGTTCTTAAACCTAGCTGTAAAAGGAATGATATAGTAGTTAGGTCTTGTCAAAGCCTCTTTGTCCAAAGTGTTTTGTGTAAACAAACTTGAGACAGCTGGGCACAATTCTACATTGTGAAGGGTCAATGTGATAAAGCAATAGTTATATAGTGAATTGAAACCATAATTTTAGCACTTTTACTGCCAATTCTATTAACTGGAAAATTATGCATTGGGAGGTTTTGGACTGAGGAGAAATTATGAGTGTGCATAGCAGTCAAAGATAATTTGAAATCAATTATTGCACATTTAAGTAAGACAGATGCAGAAAAGTCTCAGAGAAAGAGAGAGATCTTACCCTTCTATCAAATTTCTTAATATTTCAACATAAGTGCAACTCTGAAATAGGATATAATGAAATATAAAATGGATAATTTATATGTTTTTGGATGGTACTTTAAAAATTTAAATCCAAGCAACCACAAATTATTCCTTAGTCTACTTAACACTTCCATTTTATGAGGCCAGGCAGATAGAACTGGGCACTGATATTTTCTTTTGAGCAAAAGGACATTGATTTATTGAAATTTAGCAATAGCAATGTTAGTATACGTTTCAAGGACAACTGCTAATAAGACTACTTTCCTAGAAGTAAGAAAAAGTGCTGCTCTGCCTCAAAACTACCCTGTCTTTTCCATTAGACTACAGAGTACTGGTGGGTTCTTTTCATATCCCTTATACTTTTGGCAATCACTTAAGTGGGACAATGGGGGTTGCTTCATATGTACACATGACTGCCTGTCCCCTCTTTTCTTATTTTAATGAGACTGGCAGCTCAGTGGTCAGGCTTGAGATCTCCTTGAAGTCAGCAGAGCCCTGATATATTGTGTGGCCTGGGGGGAAATGGCAAAATATTATTTAACTCATGCAGGAAGAAAAACCCTGAATTTACTTTGGAACATAGAGTGACGATTGTCAGATCTTCTATTGCTATACTGCAATGTTAGATTCTTGTCTGTAATAAATATCAAAGGTCAAGTTGTATTTAAGAGTCTAAGATAATTCAGAATAAAGAGTTGATTATCTAAACCAGTGGTCCCCAAACTTTTTGGCACCAGGGACTGGTTTCATGAAAGACAAATTTCCCATGGACTGGGGGAAGGGGGAGGAGTGTGCAATCTAGAGCCCTCACATATGCTGTTTACAGTAGGGTTCACACACCTCAGTCTCCATTCTTGCATGTGATAACCCCCTGAGAGATGCAAAGGTAAAATGACAGTATGTTGGCATCCTTCCAGCTTTTAACATATTGGAATCATGTATCTATCATGTTCTGTCACACATACCTGGAGTGGAATAGATAACTTCTAAACCTCACATATGAACAGGCTGCTAAACCTCAAGTTGGATGGAGAGAATAATAGCTGTCCTGAACTTGAAAGCTGGAAATGAGGCTTTCCCCAATCAGGAAATTGATCAGCCACAAAATCTGCAGAACAGCAGCAATTCAAAGGAAAACTTCAGCTTTACTGTGGTTTCAAATAAACTAGAGGAAAGCCAGAAATAAAGTAATTCAATTTCCAAAAAGACTTAGTATTGAGAAACTAAATACATCCAAAGTCAATTCCAAAATGGTGTAAAGCAGTGGTGGCGAACCTTTTAGAGACCGAGTGCCCAAACTGCAACCCAAAACCCACTTATGTATCGTCGGGTGCCGGGTGGGCGTGGCCATTGGGTGGGCGTGGCTGCGATGGTAACGGCAGACTGGGTGGGACTAAAAAGTTCAATCAATCAATTCCAACTTTGCGAGATTTTTTTTTTCCTGCGAGAAGTTGAAATTGATTGAGTGAACCTTTTTTTTTTTTGCACACGGCGGTGGAGGCCTAAAGCGAAAAGGTTTTATAAAATCCAACTGAAGCCTAGGATTGGGGCGAGGGTGCATGTGCCCACAGAGAGAGCTCTGTGTGCCACCTGTGGCACGCGTGCCATAGGTTCACCACCACGGGTGTAAAGCATTTCATGCAGAAGGGCTGCTCATAAATTACCTTCTATCTTATGATCTGCATTTGGCTTACCTCTGAGTAACCTCAGAATTAACGCTTCTCCCTCCCAGTAGCAAGCATAATGTAGCTTTCCACAACTGATTATCCTCTAGATGTATGTATTACAATTTCTCTAGTTCTGTGTACACGTGTCTCACTGGCTGAGAATTCTGGAATTTTTAGTGGAAAAATAGCTGAGGGGGCATTCTTGGGAAAACTCCTCTAGTGCAGCATACGGTGACGTAATTCAACATAAACATCTGATTGCAAATTTTCATTCACAGAATTTGCATTATTTT